GGGTGCCTAGCGACAGACAGGATGTTTCTCCAGAGACGTGCCTCACCAAGAGAGTGACCTGGCTGGAAATTCACAGTCCAGGAGCAGTGTCTCTGCAGAGGCGAGAGGCTTTCAAGCAAATCATGCATTTTTTTCATTTGTTTTTGTTGGTGGCAGCCCCAGGTTAGTATTCCTAACTTTGGACTCATCTTGTAGAACTTTGAAATAATTATTTGGTAGTCTGCCATGTGGTTGGTTTCCTCAGGTGCTCCGTGGCTGTTCCTCACTGGAAAGGTCTACATTTCAATCAAAATGTTTTCTCGCCAGGTGCGGTGGTGCCCATCTGTCATCCCAGCTGCTCAGGAGGCTCGGGAGGAGGCAGGAGGATCGGGAGTTCAAAGCCAGCCTCAGCAACTTAGTGAGGCCCTAAGCAACTCAATGAGACCCTGTCTCTAAATAAAAAATAAAAAAGGGCTGGGGATGGGGCTCCATCATTAAGTGCCTTTGGGTCCAATCCCGAGTGTCCCCTCCAGCCCCGAAAAAATGCTTTCTTAGATGCAGTTGTTATAAACGAGAATTGGGACAAGATCTTTGAAAAGCAATTTGTCATTCCAACAGCATCCGAAAGCTGCAGATGTAGAGCCAGTATTCCAGGAAGGCCATACTTCAGAACCCATGGCCACATTAGGATATGCCTATAGGTTTACTTGTAATAGCAAAAATTAGAGGCCACGTACATGGTCATCGGTAGAGGATGCCATAAATGGTCCTGCCTCCATACTGTGGATGTCAGAGCCACGAGAAGCAGGAGGCAGCCTGGGGGCTCTGAAGGACAGGTAAAAAGGTAATCGGTGGTGTACTGTGGAGAGAAGAAAGTTCTAAAACTACAACACAGGAAAATCCTTCTGGGAAAAAAAATAGGTCTATTCACATGCAAATAGGCACAGAAAATTCCAGAAGAATATATACCAAAAAATTGACAGCAATTATTTTTGGAGTTGAATGTAGAAATAAATGTGAGGGCAGCAGAGATGGGGAGAAATGTGTGGAGATTTAAATTTTCTTTTACGTTATATACTTTAGTATTTGGTTAAAAATAGCATGAATTATATTTTTAATTAACAAAACATACCCCCAAGTTTAAAAATAAATCATTTAAATTTTTAATGCCTTACGTAAAAACATTAAGTGATTTTTTTTCCTCAGGGTTGCAAAAATTTATTTCATAAAATAAACCAGCTGATGGATTGCTTTAGAATTAGTTACTTCTAGAAGAGGATAAAAGCTAAATATCATCGTTACCAACAAAACATCAAGTAAAATATGTCTATGATTCTAAGAACAAATGATGGGTATTGCAAATCTGAAAGGGAAAAATAACTGTGATAATTTCCACTTCTTGATTAATAATGATTAGATTTTGTATTTCTAATAGAAATAAATGATAATATCTGCACAACTCCAATCAACTCTATAACAATGTTGTCTGAAATGATAACCACTAAGAGCTTGAATGTGGCCACTCTGACTTAAGACGTGCTGTAAATATAAAATATATTCTATTATTTAGGTGATTTTTACATGAAAAAAAAATATAAACTATCTTACATTTTAACATGTCAATTACATTGAAATAATATTTTATGTACATCAGTTCAAATAAAATGTTAAAATTATTTTTACCTGCCCTTTAAAAACTTAAAAAAATGTGGTTACTAGAAAATTTAAAGTTAAAGTTATATATTAAGACAGGGCTTGTCTATAGTTTCGGGTATTTTGTGGGTGATGTAATTTTTTTTTTTTGTACCTGGAATTGAATCCAGGGGTGCTCAACCACTGAACCACATCCCCAGCCCTTTTTAATTTTTTATTTAGAGACAGGATCTCGCTAAGTTGCTTAGGGCCTGCCTAAGTTGCTGAGGCTGGCTTTGAACTTGTGATTCTCTTCCTCAGCCTCCCTAGCTGGTGGATTACAGATGTGTGTCACCAAGCCCACCTCTAGGCCCTATCTTTAACTTTGCCTTTTCCAAATGAGTTTTGAGAAACTAGCCTGAGTGTATCTTCACTGAAATCTTTGCTGTAAGAACAAGACTCAGCTGAAATTAAGGGGAGCAGAGAAAACACACATATACACACATACACACACACACACATACACACACACACACACACACACCACACACACACACACACACACACAGGAGACAGAAAGAAAGGGAGAAAAATAGAATCAAAGTAGGCCAGCTCAATAGGGTGCATAATGACTTTTTGTCTCTAAATGCATTGTGACTTTGAGCACTGAGTAATTTCCCAACACCGCAGAGTTAGACACAAGTTGTATGAAATAATGTCATTTTGGAAACTATTTTTACCCACCTTTCATGCACTGTATCTAATAAAACATATAATGAACTTCAGTAACAAGAAAGCTTACATTTTCTATGACAGTGACTGGCAAATCTTTATTAAAAATAATGGCCAATAATCCCAATCTCTTAAATAGTGGTGATCACCTCACACCAGTTTCAACCAAAGTGGCTTCTTTTGAAGTCACAGTTGATTTCTGGCTTCTTCTTCTTTGTTTGATTGTTTATTTTTAACAGCTTTATTAAGGTACAATGACCGACAAAGAACAGAATGTATTTAATGTGTAGAATCTGATAAGTTTGGATGTTAGCAAACACCCATAACACCATCACCGTAATCAAAATCACAGGCATACCGAAAATCTCCCCAAATCTCCCGTGTGTCACTTTTGGGTGCGTGCATAGTAAGAACCTTAATTTAAGACCTATCCTCTTAGCAAATTCTGAAGCACAAGATGATGTACTGTTAATCCTCCCCCACTCCCCCAGTATTGGGGATTGAAACCAGGGCCTCACACATGTCAGGCAAGGGCTCTTCCACTGAGCCATACCCCTGAATTCTAGTTTCTGAGAGGATGAGCTGCTTGCCCAAGTGGTCCTGTGGCCAGGAAGAAGCTGACTTCAGACAGGAGTCGAGGTCTGTGGATCCAAAAGGCCATTCCTGAGGTGGTTCCTTTCCTTCATCCCAGGGCCACTGCTGTTGGTTGTCTGAGGACCTTATCAATTTTGACATTTTGAGGATATTTGCTTTTTCCCATTTTTTTTCTACCCCAAAGAAATTTACTCTGAATCATGAAGCCATCTGAATCATTTAAGAGCATGCGATTGGGATCCAGCCAGTTTGGGGTTCAAATTCTGGCTCTACTGCTGATTAGCTATATAACAGAAAGTCACTACCTACCTACCTTCCTGCCTGCCTTCCTATCTGTCTGTCTTTCTTTCCTTCCTTCCTTCCTTCCTTCCTTCCTTCCTTCCTTCCTTCCTTCCTTCCTTCCTTCCTTTTCTTTTTGCCTGTTGTATGCTTTTAAAAAATGTTTGTTCTTTTTAGATATATATGACAGTAGAATGTAATTTGACCTATCATACATAACTTTCCATTCTTGTGGTACATGATGTGGAGTTTCATCTAGGAACATAGGAAAGTTCTGTCCCATTTATTCTTCTGTCTTTCCTATTCCCATCCCCCCTTCCCTTCATTCCCCTTTGTCTCATCCAATGAACTTCTATTCTTCCCCCATGCTACAGTGTGTTAGCGTCCATATATCAGAGAGAACATTCAGCCTTTTGGTTTTTGAGATTGGCTTATTTCACTTAGCATGATAGTATCAAGTTCCATCCATTTACCTCCAAATACTATAATTTCATGCTTCTTTATGGCTGAGTAATGTTTCATTGTGTATATATATCACATTTTCTTTATCCATTCATCTGTTGAAGGGCACCTAGATTGGCTCCATAGCTTAGTTATTGTAAATTGAGCTGCTATAAATATTGATGTGGCTGCATCATTATAATATGCACCTGGAGCGGAATAACTGGGTCAAATGGTGGTTCCATTCCAAGTTTTCTGAGGAATCTCCATACTGCTTTCCAGAGTGATTGCACCCATTTGCAGCTCCACCAGCAATGTATCAGTGAATCTTTCCCCACATATCCTCGCCAAACTTATTGTTCCTGGTGAGATGGAGGTCACTGTATTTCTGTTCCTCAGTTTTCTCATGTGCAAAATGGAACCGATAATAGCAGCCCCACTCCAGGGGTAATGTGAGGATTAAATGAAAAAAATTCCATGTGAAAGAATGACCTATAAACAGTCATTACTGTTATTTTATCATTCATTCAACAAATATGTGGTAAGTACTGTTATTCAATTAAAGTTTATGGTTCCCTGGAATGCACCCAAGTGGAAGGTTATTATGCTGGGAACCATCACTAGGGGGTGATACGGGAACCCCAGGAAGGAGTATCCAAGCCAACTGGGGCAGGCCACAGAAGGTTTTCTTCCTTTCTTTCTTTGTACCAGGGTGCTGAGCCACTGAGCCCCATCCCCAGCCCTTTTTTTGAATTTTATTTAGAGAAAGGATCTCACTGAGTTTCTTAGGGCCTTGCTAAGTTGCCGAGGCTGGCTCTGAATTCTC